CCAAAGAATTAAACTAATAATGTTGTATATAGGGAAGTGTTCAATAATATATGATATTTTCAGTTTAATTATATGTTTATATGTCTATTTTTATGATCAAGATTATTTTGTCTTTTTAGGAGGCAATTTTGTATATAAATTGTGTAATAAACAAAATAATCTTGATCATAAAAATAGACATATAAACATATAATTAAACTGAAAATATCATATATTATTGAACACTTCCCTATATACAACATTATTAGTTTAATTCTTTGGCACGTCATCTTCGCCACAAATTAAGATTTTCAAACCTTTTCGGTTAGTGACAATAACTGGCTATGACTGAACACTGTTTTCTTAAGAAATAAGCCAACATCATATATTATTATATACAAAATTGCCTCCTAAAAAGCTCACAAGTCATAATTTCCCCGTGCATTGCACGGATGATTACTAGTTTAAATAGAATGAGAAGATACATAAATGAGAAAACTCAAAACCTAACTCTTGATTTCACTTATAAATTATATATTATTTAGATAAATATAAATAAATAAGATTGGAACAGGTCGGGGCGGGACGGGCCAGAAAAAAAAACCTGAACCTGGCCCGTTTAGTTAACAGGTCGGGCTAGGCCCGACCCGTTTAGAAATGGGACAAGTCTGAGCCGCCCCAAATGCTCCGGGTCAGCCCAGTTATGCCCGGGTCCAACTCGTTTTGTCATCCCTAAAACTAACCAAGTAAACTATATAAAGTTAGTGTATGGTGCTCACACTCTAAATTGACAAATTCTATGAAGCGTGGTCATTTATCGGCATCACTAACGCCATACATTAATTTATGTTTATGTTAAGTGGTGTATATTTTAGATGGATTATTGTCCAAAACTCACCAGTGTATTTCCATTTCTTAAACAAAAACAACTGCCCAAACATCTTCCGAAAACTTCTATAGTCTGTACTTATCACAGCAGGTAAAACTAGAAAATCATTGCCAGAGATCGTGAATCCGCGGAAAGTATTGGTGGCTTTGGTTAGAATTTGATTCGCCGACCAGAATTGGAGAGCTGCGACCGCCATTGATGCCACTTCTGTAGTGGGAAAGAGAAAGCGAGTTCTCGTACAAATGGTCGATTTCTCGTCTGTTAATCGATGGGCAGCTACAGATTTCGCTAAATATCGCATAATTCGGGTTCGAGTCCTTTGCGGATGCAGAAAAACTTTGTCGGGAGACTCATCCACCACTGTGCGACGTGGGTCGACCAACTGATTAATCAGAGCATAGCTCCGGATACCGGCTACCAAAAAAAATATCGCATAATTCGTGTTGTGTCTTGTTAAAAGAACCTTCTTTTTTCCGCCCATTTGCCAGAAGCCTCCGTTATCCCAAAAGAGCCAGCTTAGGAAATCAAAATTTAATGCAATTGTTTGAGCTCTGCATCTATTTACTGTAGAGCTGAAGGGAAATAATCAATGGCTGATTAGGGTTTGGTAGTAGCTGATTCTGTATGGCGACACTTCCCCCGGTGTCCAATCAATGGATTCCTGAAGACGACTTGTTGTTGAAGAATGCTGTTGAGGTAATTGTTCAAAGACTTCTGCACAAAAAATAAAGGAAGATTTTGGTAGTTGTAATTTGAGAATTGAAGTCAATCATATCACATCTGCTTTCTTTGTATGTTTCATCTGATAGGAGTAAGTCTGCATTATGAGTTTTCTATGGCAGCTATGACCATTTTGTTAGTGTATGATTGCTTGAGCCATAAAATTTCAAGAAATTACCATATGCATGAACTGCAAACCAGTATGTATTATATCACTCTAGCGTGGATAATTTTTTTCATTCACAAAATGCGGCATTTTATCGTGTCGAACATGAATGTCATGACCCACACAGCCAATTTTGTAAGAACTCGTGTCGAATTCTAGCTGTCATCACCGGGCTGAACATCCTGTTAACTGTTAAATGCCATTTAAGGCTATAAGTGAACGAAAGTTGGTGTATGTTTAAGAATGCTAATCCATTGAATCTGACTGATAAACTTGCTACTGGATGTTATGTTAGTTAATCTTCCTATTTCTGGTTTCACTGATAAAGAATACTCTTTGTTTTTATACTGGACGTCCTTCTTATCAGTTCTGCTTACTAATTAACAGTTTTATACAATTTCATTCACAAATTTACAGGCAGGTGCATCATTGGAAGCACTTGCTAAGGGAGCAATACAATTTTCTCGAAGATATACTTTACGAGAGCTCCGGGAGAGGTGGCACTCCCTTCTCTATGATCCCGAGATTGCAGCCCAAGCCTCCGCCCGTATATTTGAACTCGAGGTCTCTGGCTTATGCCCCGGGTCAAACTCAAACAAACCGGAGAAAGAAAATTCAAAGAAAAAGAAACGCGAGAGCATCCGTAGAAAATACTATGCCATGAGGAAAAAATTCCGCAGCGAGTTTTTGAACCACAGTGTTCTCGGTTTCTTTGAATCCAATCCTCACGAGTTTGTCGAGCATGTTCCCGATTTCCAGGACCAATCGACGCGTGATGTTAATGACCAGTTACAACTTCAGGAAGAGGATTTAGATATTCTGCGCCATGCCTTTCTAGGTACGATACAGGATGCGTCTGGTGCGAACAATGAAATCATGGGTGGCTACGGATTTGATGAAAGAATGTTCCCCTTTGGTGAATGCGCTAAAAACAGAAAAGGTTCGGTCGCTATCGGAGAAGACCGAATTAGTGAAAATCATGCAGTTGTGTACGAACCCAACAGTTCACACTTGCGTCACTTGAGAACAACACCTTCGGCACCTAATCTTGTTTTGGAGAATATGATCCCCAATGATGATGCCCAGGGTAAAGAAAATAGCTCGTCGGCATACACTGGTGAGTTTGCAGACCCAGACTCACTTCTGAACCTGTCGAATGAGGAAGAGATGCTCTTAGTGGATGTGGATGAAAAACACGTAGAAAAGAAATCTTCTGTGGATATATCTGATTCGATTAACCAAGAACTGAATAAAGGCAATCAGGAAAATGATACTGCGAAAGTTCAACCTGAAACCGTGCAACTATCAGAAGCTACTGTAGATTCCTCGGCTTTGAATGTTGACATGCCTTCGAAGCCAACACTAAAGTGTGATTTGATCGAACTTTGTCATGGTGAGATCCGCTGCACGTTGAACACAGAGGATCCCGAGATTCCATGCAACGATGATATATTCTTGCTTATTCATCCTCCCACGTCCACTGGCTCTCCTCCACTACAGCTCAAAGCCACAGTTTCTATGAACGAATGTGCTCCTGTTTATGAGAAGGATAATGGGAAAGGCGTAAGCTCGCCGAAGAAAGGCAAAGATTATATGAGTGCTGGTTTGTGTCCTCAGGCGGGAGGGATGCATGGCTTGTCAGATTTGCGTTCGATTCAGACTGTTGGTTGTGCAGCAAAAGATGATATTCCTGGATTTGTCCACAAGACCATTGGAAATTTGGGTAAAGGCAAATCGCTGTACACAATTCCAAAACCATGCAGCAGTAGCATGTCCAAGAAAGAAGTTGCTGGAGCTAGTACGAAGGTGGTTATTTAATTTTAATTTTTATTTTATTGTCAGTTGTAAAAGATAAGTGTTGGATGTCATTCTTATGACACAACAAAAAAACTCTAGCCACATTTCGGAACTACAAATACCTTGGTAAAATATTGCAAATTATTCTCTTCAGATTGCAGTTATGAAGGGTAGATGATTTTGCAACAATTTTATTTAGATAGTTGTATATACCTTGCAAATACCCATATCTCTTGAGGGTGCAGCTTGTATGGTATAATCAAATGTCAAGGGGAGTTTGCTATTATGAAGGGTAGTTGTGTTCTTTACTTTTCTTCTCATTTTGATAGGCTTAGTCTGTATGTTATAGATGGATACGAGTATGTGATCTCATTCCAGGCTATGTTTTGATTCGCTGTAAGCAGGTTGGAGACAGCCCAGCAACAATGATACCACCCATGGAAGCAGGTCCTGTGAGTACCTCGCTTCCAGAATCATTGCTCAATGACTCAGTATCAGATCAGGAAGAACCACAGATTGATGATGACGTGCCTTATTTTTCTGACGTGGAAGCTATGGTAAAAATTTTGAATTTTTTTAGTGACATGAAACTAATCTACCAGAAAGCTGTTATTTATTTGCCTAAATAAACTTATACAGATTCTTGAAATGGACTTATATCCAGACGATCAAGACGCCAGGCAAGGTACTTTGTTTAATGCCATATCCGGTTGCTAAAATTCATTCTACACGTTCTTTGTGCCAGTAGTTGTCTCAGTTGTGGTATACTTTCAACAATAAAACTTGGGTCCAAAATCTTACGGCAGTGTTTTTTTCATCTGTTTCTCTTCCTTTATCTTGGTATGTAATCTTTCTCATTGTCGAAGAAAACTTTAACAAGCAAGAAATAATGCTGGACTTGTTTGTTATCATGTTCCTGCATTAGCCATTGCTTAAGGGCAGGGCATGATTCTTACTATGATCGACTATCATAAATTTATTATATTTTTACATGTGATAATGATAATAGTGGACGTTTCTTTCGAACAGAGACTTTGCACGCTTTTGGTGATGTTCCAGTGTTTGATAATAATTGGCCTTTTGCATCTTACTTTTTCAGTGCCTAGTTATCAGTACGATGATACTAAAAGGACAATCATAAGGCTGGAACAGGGTGCTAGTTCTTGCTTACAAAGGGCAATGGCATCACAAGGAGCACTTGCTATCTTATATGGCCGTTATTTGAGGCATTACATCAAGAAGCCTGAGGTACCCTATTTGTACACCCATCTACTAAATAAAATTTGGGGTACCGATTCTCAGTAGATTACTGAGTAAATGTATGTATGTATCTACGTGGATGGCTCGTTCTGTTTGTTTGCCTGTTAACTTGCCAATGCTTTTAAAGATTCAATTGCTCCTAAAACAGTCTTTCACTACTCCCATGGTTCATAGAGTAATGGCGCATGTCCGTTTTTTGACATCTTCACCTAGCATAAGCCATTAAAATCACCAATAAGAGTGAGATTTTCCGTATGTTAGCAGCACTCGTATCTATGTGCCTGGGTGTGCACTATTTATTAAAATATATATACCCTTATGCTATTAATCATTTTTTTTATTTTTTTATTTTTTTTGCAGGTTTTACTTGGCAGATCTACAGATGATTTTGATGTTGATATTGATCTAAGGAAAGAAGGACGAGCTAATAAAATATCGAGGCGGCAGGTAATATTTGGGAAATATGCTACTTTGTTCTTCGAATTTTGCAGTGCAGTGGATGGAGATCGGTCTTAGAGACTTATCATGAATGCATATTCCTAAAATTTCTGGCACTTTTGGGTCGTTTAGATTGCATGTACATGACTAGCACCTTAACTATCATTTTTGTTTGTATCTGCTTAGGCGATCATCAAAATGGAGGCAGATGGATCATTCCTTTTAAAGAATCTTGGTAAGAGTTCAATGTCAGTTGATGGCTTGTCAGTAGCTACTGGACAATTGCTGAACCTGAGTCCCAGTTGTTTGATCGAGGTATTTCTTTAGCATCCATAGAATATAAGAGGATGCTTCTGACTTTTACTAACTCGGATACTTCTCTTTAGCGGCAGTATGAACTCCTTATTCCACATTTAAAAAATTGTATTAGAAACTAGAATTATGACGCCAATTCTTTTGTTGATTGACGAAGAAACTTCCAGAAACTCGTCCTCTCTCTTTTGAGGACTTATCTGTAAGTGCACTACCGAAAAAGGAAAGAACATCTTTTGTGATTAATATATGTTTAGCCACGTAATATTTGGATGCTTTGGAATTTAAACTCGAGAATAATTGCTGATGCTGATCTTGAGGCTCAACTTAATTGCTGAACAATTTTTCTCTCTTTAAAAATTTAGAATAATTCCCTAAAGCGCTCCAAATATCCCTTGAGGTTTGATAAATTCAATTAGGGATGATGTGTGACATTATTTGTATTTTCACAAAGATAACTGTTATTATTATTTTTTTTTTAAAGCTAAACCTCGAGCATTAATTATCCCTTTGATCACCGTACAATTTTAAGCTTTTAAAAGGAGAAACGCAACCTTGATTTTGCATAATTGAAGTCTCAACAGAGAATACGTACCATGTATGTTGATTTGCAATAAATGCATGTCCCAGTTTGAGCTGCAATAACAAAATGTAGCCAAATCTTTATATGGTGAGTAAGTTGATAAATCCTCATGCAGTCCAGTAGTGGTTAGAGTGAATAAATTTTGATTCCCTATATTATTATATGGCTCAATTTCTAGAAAATAATTATTGGATTTTCTTCATTTCTGTAGATAAAGGGAATGAGTTTTGTATTTGAGATCAACCAAGGATATGTGAGGAAGAACTTGGGTAAATTTGGCTTGAAAAATAAAAGAAAAATGGTCAAATCTGAATAGTTGATTGACGATGAACCTTGAGAATCTGGAAGCTGGGGAAAAGGTCTCGTCCTTGTTATTCATTACTGAAGTGTATCCTCGGGTTGAATAATTTTGTTTTATTTTTATTTTTACTACATAAATGTAGATATAGCAGGTTTTGGTCCATGTACCTGATATCTCGTCCAGTTGAGCTACATAACATGTAAGTTTTTTTTTTCCTAAGCCCTTTTCTTTTATATTGTTCTTGTTTTGCTATATATTTGGGTTTTATGCTTTTATCTGTCAAAATTTATTTTAAAAATGCGCCCATTAGGTGTTACACTGTGGTGAACGTTGAGAAAAAATTATATCTGCTGGATGTTTTTTAATAATGGGATATTGCAGACTTCACGGTTTCGAATTTTAAGCATATTTGTTGATTTCAAATTTTTGAAGATGACATAATCATGCAGTTGTTTTTCACTGATTCTCAGCCAAATGATGCAATTTTCGGAACTGTTCTGGAGCTATATATTCTGCAATGAACTGAAGTATTTCGATCTTTTCTATCAAAGGGAAGTTACCCGCGAAAGAGCTTCCTGAAAGTAGCAATTGTAGCAATTTCCCTAAACATTTTCCCCGGGAAGGCATAAAATAGGCTCCATTTTAAGTGAGCCTCACCGTTGAGGCTCAAGTCACCAAAACGTGCGTTGGCTTGAGAGATTTTATATGCCATTCGCGGTCAAAGGCGAAGGATATTGATTGCAAGATCGATCACACTTTAATCGGGGAACAAATAAAGAAGGTGAAAGGTGAAAATATCCTGGAAAGTGAAATCAATCTGTTCTTATTTGTTTGAGAATATATGTGACAATAATTATTTCAAGATTCTTCTTGGCTTCTTTATAAAGTAAGGTACTTTGAGTGAAAATTCCCTCAAAGCTAATGGTGGTGGTGGTCATTGTTGGATGTTTGTTGTGGCAATAATTTTGTGTGTTGGGATCCAAATATATCCTTTCAAAATATTTTTTTTTTTTTTTGGTTCAGGTTAATTTAAAAAATGTAATATGGTTGTTATTAGAAAATAATTAAAGATGATTTGATGTAAAAGTAAGAAATAGATGGTGTGAAATGGTTGTTAGTTATAACTATGTGAGTGGATGAATAGCGAATTAAGTTGATGTGATGTGTAAAAATGATCGTTTGATATTATTTAATTATATTGATAATTTTGGAGGATAGTAATGTTGAAGTATATATATATATATATATTTTATTTTATGTAATGTAGAGTTAGAATTTGAGTATGGATTGAAAAATATATAGACAAAGACACCCTAAGAAAAGTGTAAGCAACCAATGGCATTTTCACCATGACCGTCGTTAGACAAAATAGTTGAATTATTTTTTCGGATACTGAAATGTCATGCTCTAAGAAACGATACAAACAAGATCTTCTACATTTCTCTATATATGTTTTCGGTCAAAAATAGTAACGGGTCGACTCGCTCAACAGATTCTCACAAATGGTTTTGTGTGCCAATTTTGGTATCACTATTTGGCCAGAAGAACTTCTAATTACAGGTTGTTGTAGGCATAATTTCATCACCTAATACCACTAATGATTATGATATCAAATTATCAATTTGTATCACCACTAATTCACCTTCTCTTCTCCTACCAAATCATAGGCTTTCAGTTAACTTCATAAATGTAAAGACCCACCTAAAAAATTCCACTGATTTTTGTTTGTTAGAACATAGAAAAATGCCTTTTGTGTATTGGTGGGTACTTGAGCAATCATACAAATGAACTCAAAGTTTATTTGTATGCTTCATATCAATCATGTCCATTTCCTTGTTTCTAAGCAAATACCATAGATTCTACATTATGTATGCACAAAATGAATAAATAAACAAATAAATATGCGGAGAAGTTACGGTCCCGTTATGGGACCATTCCGTCGGAATTTGTAACCGTTATGTCAATTATCTCAGATGGTTACTGGATGATCTAATACAAACCCGACAGAATGGTTCCGTAACGGGACCGTAACATTTCCCCAAAATATGATAGTCATTCACTCATTTGGTGAGCTGAAATGTTATGAATTAGTTCTTTTTAGTTGTTGACTTTTGCTGAGCTGCATTG